GCAAGGCTGGGCATAATGCAAGGACCTGTCAGGAGGTAATTGAGGTTAATATGGAAGAGTATAGTGACTGATTTTAATTGATCTAATAGGTTGTGGTGTTTTTATTGCTGATTTAATTGAGAAGGTTAGGATTTTTGGGACACTCGCTTATCTGGGACACTCGCTTATCAAATACGTTAACAGATATTCACAACTATCTTAACCCTGCCCCTACTTATAACACTGATACATTTTAATTACATTATCTTTTATAGATATGCAACCCTCTAACTATATAAGGATAAATATGGCTTTTACCTTGCAACCCTTAAGAATGATTATAGTAGGCATGTGGCTTATTTTGACTGCTTATTGAAAAACACCTTCTCTGATTTCCTTGGTTTCTTACCCTTGCCTTATAAGTAAGTTATTGTTAAGGATAGCGGGGGTCTTAATAGAAGTAAAACCATTAAACTAGCTATTAAATTAATTAGCGCTATGTATTTACTAATCTCTATAGGAAGAAGTGGTTAGAATATTACTGCATGGCTAGTCTCTAATAACCTATAGCATCTAGACTTGCGGCAGGTAGAACTGCTAATTAAAGATTAGTTATTGCAGTGAGGCTGTAGGGCGATTATTTTAGATTTTGCTATTAGCCTATATTATAAACCTCTACCCTATTAATAAAAAAGGTCCCCTTGTATTAGTTAGTAGAAGTTAAAATTAGGTATTAGTCTTGACTTTTAGCTTAATAATGCCGAGGCATAAAAGCGATAACTGAGAGTTACTAGCTAATGGTTCTTTTGCTAATTGTCTTTTTAGAACCTTCTACTGCTGCATCTCTGAACTTTTTATCTAAGTTTAAACATCTGGCTAATAATTTAATCTTTTAGTCTATCTAAGTACCTCCTCTAATTATAATTCTATCTAAAGGTTAATGACTCCTTATTTAGTATCCTATAAATATAGCACTCTCTGACTAATCGGTAGTAATAATCTAGAGCCTGTATGCTTCTTATAGTTGCGTGACTATTAGTAGTATTAGTAGCTTTGGATGTAAGATGTGGCCTCTTTGTTATAGTTCCTGTATCTAATTAAGGTTCTAATGCTATAATACGCTTCCTAGACCTTTGCTTATTATCTTACTAAGAAGCTATTTCTAATATCTTTATTTATATTAACTAGCCTTTGATAGGCCTTTACTACCTAGTTACTGAAAATATATTTAGCGATATTAGCCTTTTGTAACTTCTTATCTTTTAACTCCTTGTTGAGGTCAGCTTGACTTTTCTTAACCTTGCGGAGGACAATGGGCACACTGCATCTGTATAGGATATAGACCAGATCTCCTTCTTAAGCACCTAGGCGCTAGACCAAGCCATGAATTTCCAGTGCATATTATCCTTCTGTTCTAAATAACTGCTTGCACTCTTTTAAACCGATGTTCCTATATCATCGGTTGCAGGGAAAACACCCCCTCAGCCAATCATAAGAGCCCAGAGCAACACAGTCAATCAGGCACGACCCAGGTCGAGATCATGTAAATTAGCAGCAAACGATGGGAATATGTAGCTGTAACATGGGCCCTTATGACCTGGAAGAAGGAAAACTCTAATTTATGTGGTTATAGATATATCTTGAAAGGAAAGAAAAGGCTTTTCTTCTGTTTCTTATATTAATTTCGCTAATTGCGCAAGAAGGTCAGCGATGAAGCGCGCCCAAAATTGCATCGAATGGGCCAGCTACAATGGGTGGGTACAAGAAATAACCGCCAAGACTCGGGGGCCAGCGACGGTTGATTTATGCGTAAGCAATCGGTATGAGTCACTAATCAACCTCCTTCTTTCGACCTCGAGCGCTAGACATCTGCATTTTGTCACGGAATCTCGGGATATTGGAGTTACACGGTGATTTTTAACTTGCCATGGGGCTGGTGATTCGGCGAGACGATTCTGGCTTAGCGTAACGAAGCCCCCCTCATCACCAAAACCTACCGCATTTCAAAGTCAGGAAACCAGCCTCAAGTCATATAAGATGGGACAATAAATAGACCTAAAAGTATTCCCGAAACGATTATTAACTCATCCCTCTTGGATTTTATAGTTCATATCGTTTGCTAACTATGACTCGGTCAAGCCCAAACATCCCCTCGACGGTGGAGGAGATCCTCGCTACTGCCGCAATGGACCCCTCTTTCGAGGAGGCTTATTCCAAGAAAGGCCGCCCTCCTGGATTTCCAGGACTGGAGGTCGATGAGCTAAAGGAAATGGTCCACAAACATCTGCCTATCCTACAGGCCAAGCTCGGAGCCGATCGGCCCGACGGTGTCATCGAGACGGAGCACACCATCCCTCTCGACACAGGCTTCCACTCCCGAACCCTCGTCTGCCAGCCTTCTTCGCCATCCGCTTCCTGTCCCATCATAGTTCTCTTCCATGGAGGGGGCTATTGTCTTGCCTTTCCCGAGATAGAAGTCGAACTCGCTCGGGAGCTCGTCAAGGCGCACTCGGCCGTTGTTGTCTGTCCTTCCTTCCGCCTGGCCCCTGAATACCCTTTTCCCACGCCAATGAAAGACGGGTGGGCTGCTCTGAAATACATCGCGGCAGAGCTTGTCTCACCTCACGATCCCGAATCCACTCTATTCCCACCGCAAGCCGATCCAAAAACAGGGTTCATCGTCGGCGGAACATCCTCGGGCGCACATATGGCTTGCGTCGTCTCACATCTCGCCCAATCTAACAGCCTCTGCCCGCCTTTGACAGGCCAATTTCTCAGTGCAGGAGGCTTCCTTCCTCATTCACGCGTGCCAGAGAAGTACCGCCCCTTTTACCTTTCCTGGGAGCAGAACAAGGATGCACCAATAGTCAACAGGACTTTCCTGGAGAAGTACCAGTCCGTAGTAGCGCCGGATCTTGACTCCCCGTTGTGGGTGCCATTTGACCAGCGACATCCTGACGATGCCTCAGGACAGATCAAGATGGGGCACATAGGTCAGCCACCTGCCTACTTTCAGGTGTGCGGGATGGACATCAACCGTGATGAGAGCTTGATCTATGAGAGGGTATTGAGGGAAGAGTGCGGTGTTCCCACAAAAGTTGATCTCTATACAGGCTTTCCGCATTGTTTCTGGAACGAGTTTGGCGACCTAGATATGAGCAAGGAGAGGATGAGGGACAGTGTGGATGGAATCAGCTGGTTGCTAAAGCAGAGCACACTCTAGATGCTAGTATTTTAAATAATTAGCCTAAGCAGTTAGGTAGGCTTGAATTTTCAAACATCTGATTGGGGTTTGGTAACGCGTCAATCGCACCACGACACAACGTGTAAAGTTTTTTAGATTAATATTATCCGTAAATGTGGACTGTAGCCAAGAGTCTAATTGCTTTGAGACTGACTTAATAAGTCATAATGCTTAACTCTATAACAGAGCCAGGCTCTTCTAATCCTATATACCTCTTTATTCTTATGCCTAACTATCGACTTCTTGTACGCCAGATATGCCAGTATGTATATCTGGCTAGAGAAACTTCTACTTACCTTGCTAAATAGCATATTGGAATAGACCTAGCAATTTAGTGCTATCTAGTAAAAGAGATTAAAGGGATACTAAATGTGCTATAAAGTCAGGCTAAGCTTTCTTAGATATAATATTTACTACTAAAAGCCAAGCCTATTCCTAGCCTTGCCCTATTCAAGCTTAGTAGGCCAAAACACTATAATTATAGCTTTACTATCTGCCAGGTTTAGGTAATATAAGTAAATACTAAGGGAGGGTTAAGAAAACTATTTTAAATATGTATATTAGGGTTATTCTTATCATAGAGATATTTAAGAGTTACAGTGATACTCTGAGGTCTTTCAGCTTATGAATATAAAAGCATATACATCAGATGCTATCTAGTTACAGAATGCTACTATATATATTAGCACTAGGTGTCACGGCAAACCTTGTCCTAAACCATACTGTCGTCCCGTCTGCTTCTCCCGTGGTTCTCTGTTGTCACTGTCTCCCCCTCAGATCCAGAGCTATTGGCCACATGCCTCCCTCTACTCTTCCTTTCTCCGCTCAGAGGCTGCCCAGTCTTTGTAGCCAATGTATCATCTCGCCCATATAAGAACCACAGAAAAGCGCCCGCCATGACCGCACCGCCAACAATATTCCCCAACGTGACAGGAATATTAGATTGGTAGGTGAACTTGCCGACGCCGAAGTTTGTGCCGTAAAACATTCCGATGGGGACAAGGAAGAAATTGGCGACGGAGTGCTGATAACCCAGTGCGACACTGCAATATCTTGTTAATCCTATTCCACAACATTGGCAGAGTCTGGTCTACACTTACAAAGCCCAGATGGGGATCCAGATACCAACGATCTTGGAGAGGTTGTCCTTGCTACTCGTGGCGAGGTATACAGCCAAACCCACTAGCCAGTTACAGCCAATACCTCTCGTGAAGTTGAACCACCAATTGATGATGACTCTTTCCTCAGCTTGCGTAACAGCGTATGAGGACATGGCGTCTGAGTTCAACGTATCGCTCCACCAAGCCAAGACTCACGTAAAGAAGAGACAACCCGCCAGATTGAAGATGTAACAGACAACCCAGTTCTTCAAGAGATCGTATACACTCGTCTTTCTTTGCAAGGTTGTGTACATCATAACGGTCATGTTACTCCTTACAAGTTCGACGTTGGTGAGAATGACGAGGACAAATCCGATGGGGAATGTGAAGGCGGCCAGAAGGGTGATGAGAGATGGGTTTGACTCTCGTAGACCTGGAGCTCCACCTGCGACGACAAGATCAAAAAGAGGCCCGAGTGAGATGAAGATACCGCCGAAAAAAGACTTGACGATGAGGTCTGCCCATGGAAGCTTGGCTTTGGCGATACCTGATTGGGTCATGAGTTGACAGGTCTCTGGCGGAGAATGAGCGTCGACTTTCTCCATCGACACGTGCGGTTGACGCTCATCGCCTGCATATTTTGAATCCGTATAATTTAACATGATTGTCTTCGACTCTTGTGGACAATTGGTGATACATGTCAGGCTATGGTTCAATTCCGGGAATGTTTATTCATATATACCTTGGCACGCATGATGGAAGCTTGATGTCATGATGCCCCAATCCCGGATATTCGGCCTTTAGCTTAATAACATGAATCATTGAATTTTTAGTCAATTTTAATCAGAGAGTGCTGTTACGAGATCCAAGTATGATGTAATTGCGACTTGATGTGGTCATGATGTTATGGTGGGTAATGCGACCCCATCTATTCTACCTCGCGCTATCTCAGCTATATCTATGATCTGCTCTACCTACTATACATTGATGCGATGACGCCAGACCAACTGTTCCTCACGAGCACTATACGTGGAAGCCCCAAGAATAGCCCTCATCTGCTGCACACTCGTAAACAGAATCGGTCGCGCAATGAAAAAGCGAATACCCTCAGTGCAAGGAGGACTTGTCAAGCTTCCCTCATAAGTCCAAAATTCATCAAAGTAATCCACACTCTCCAGAAGCAGCCTATGATTGAGAGTAGCCTCTTCGCTGACGTCTGTTTCGTTGAAGCCAATCATCTTTGGGAGTTGACCAAAAAAGCTATTCGCCTTGTTACCAGGGTCAAGACGAATGGCAAGGACAGCGCGTTCTTTGCCCTGCGCATTGACATGGACGAGATGAAGCTCGGCTCTGGAGCGGTGGCGCTCGACGGTGTGGTCGGCGGGGGCGTGGATGTGCCAGCCTTTGAGGTAAACAGTCTCGTTGTCGAAGCTGAAAGAGGGGTTCTGAGTCCAGATTTGATCTTCGTTCTGGACGGTGAATGCAGGTCCGTAGCCCCAGTTGAAGAAGTTGCCGGTGACCTCATCAGGATAATTCCACTCTTTGATCAGATGTTCCAGTGAGAGGCCTTGCTTGAGGGCAATAGGGATGGGAGACTGTTGAGTGCCATCCTGGCAGAGATGGTAGTCTAAATTGTATCAGTCACTGTTTGTCAAGAGTCCTTGTGAGGTGGACGTACCAGGGTTGATACGGCCCCAATTGTAAGATGCCTCATAAGCCCAGTCCGTTTTTCCGGGCTCGGCACGGGGATCAATGTGTCGCTTCTTGTGCTTGAGGGAGTAATGATTGTTATGCTTTGCGCAAGACAAGACGCTTGTGACGTACGTCGCTACTGCGAAAAGCTGAGAGATACGCATTGTGATGATGGGATAAGGAGTAGATAGAAGAGACTGGTGAAGAGCCGATTGATGAGATGTAGTTGAGCTGTTGTCGCGATTATGTGTAATTTTATATCTGATTGCGAAGGACATGAAAGTCGCAGAATAGAGTCTAGCGCGCGCAATAATGTCACTGCCAAGACAAAGCGAGGCGCAAGATACCACAGACCACGGGGGGCTTGGACCCGGCAGTTACGCAGAAATTAAGTTTGTAAACTCTATCTCGAAGCCTATCGTTGAACAAGATCCAAGTTTAGACCCTGTAAATCACAATATTTCTCAATGGATTACCAATAATTGCTTGGTGACGTTTGTGAAACTTTCCATTCGTAGCCCACGTGGACGTTCCAGGCACAGCCCGCGCTAACTTGTGGGATTCTCCATGGGGTAATGCGCTAAAGAATTAGGCTTTACAGTGGTGCGTCTTGGCGCTGGCGGTCTGGAATCATCCCTGTTTCTACTAAACAGCGAGAGATAGGAAATAATGCGTCCTTAGCTAATATTGTTTACAACTATCACGGGCCTAGTACTTGTTCCAGACCGTTGAAATGGCCGCGTAAGTATTAAATCCTTCTTGGAATCATAATCTCCTGCATGGAATCTTCCGTATCCTAGCAGGGATCTTTGAGATATCTCGTCTTCCTGGTTTCAGGGTAGCATCGTGACAGACACAGCCTCGGATTAATGGTTTAAGGTTTCGGCATCTCGTTATATAGACTGCCGAAGCTTCCGAATCTGGGTTTGTCTCCGGAGAGATGAGATCTTGCATCTTGTCCCTTGGTGCAATCGGCGCAACTGTTTTATGATATTACAAGAAGAGCTTAGCCACGACAAAGCAATCAGTGTTGCGGAAAAGAGGGCGTGATTCCTCACATAGATTGAATTGCGGCATTTAAGCTTTGTCAATTGAAAAATCATCATAACGCTAAGAAACAGGGTGCAAGCATCTTGGGAGCCGTTTTGACTACCCGAGACAGGCAGCTACGAAATGTTGCTGGGGACATGAGATTGGCTCACCGTCCTGAGCCTTTGGCGCAGCTTCTTGGCGCATGAGATCAAACAGCTAAAAAGCGCAATGACAATCGCTTTCATGCAGAAATAATTGCCGCCTTGGCAACGGTATAAGCCACAGTCAACGTCATTTCTCAAGATGATAGAGGTAGAGCAGCATGAGTTAGCAACTAGCAGTTAGCGGTTAGCTTTGACTAGTCGCGATTAGAGTTCTGGTGAGCCGAGGGTCGAGCCTGACTGTTGAGGTTTGTGCATGTTAGAAGCTATCGCCCGTGCGTCTCGTGACTGATGAGAGGAATATTCCATAAGGGCTTGGGGGTAATTAAAGAATGCCAGGAAAACATCGCTCTGACAAAATCACGAGAAATTGCTTTGGGATGATTCATGATTCAGGTTGTTATTATTTACATTTCTGCCTATGCTGAACTACCCTAGAGACTAGAATGTCTTGTTATCGATAAGATTGATATCACTATGTGAGATAAGCTGATGAGATATGTCTAGTTTTAAGACATAAACCAGCATCTTATGCCAGCCTTTCATTCAATTATATGTAATTGGGGTCACATTTCCCAGCGGCCAAAAAATTCATTTCTCAGCACCTGATGACATGGGGCGGGCTTCGTTGCACTTGCCGGTATCACCATAAATTTGTTCGGCCTTTGCAAACGTGGACGTTAAGTCATCAGCATTCTTATACATTTAATCTTCAGTATCAACTACAATTTTCTGTACTTGTAACTCCTTTATGCACCGAGCATTCGATAGCAAACCCAAAGGCTCTGGCATACCATCCCTGTGACCAAAAGCTCAACTCCATGCAGTGAGGTGCGCCCCAGATAAAACTACTGTCAACGCGAGGGCTGCTAGAAAATGCCACTGCACAGGCTCTCAATCGCTCTTCAGATACAACGAAGAACGGCTCGTGCTCCATCATGGCGAGCATGACGGGGACCTTTACATGCGAAGCCCACTCCTCTTTCCAGCGAGGTAGCCATGAAGCTGGTAGGCTCTCGAGCTCGGCAAGCGGAGCGGGAGAGTCAAGCTTCTTTGTAAGCTTTAGGACATCCCCGTGGACCGTTTCTGGTCGAAACATGATCTTGTCCTTTACTTCGCTCGAGATCGATTGTTCGCCTAGAGGGTCGTATGGCTTGCTGATGCAGTTCTCGTACATATGGGGCTGCCAGATATCCCCAAGTCCAGACCAAATGACACCCCCAAGTGGATATGAGGGTCGTTCATCTTGGCCATGCAGCGCTGCCGCCGCAACTCCATACATTGTTCCGAGACTATGGCAGAAGAGAACAATACAGTTGCATCCATTCTCGATTCCAATTTTGGACCATAGAGTAGGCAGGGTGTGGTCGTGCAACCAGACAGCAGTTTCTTTCACGAAGTCGGACTCTTCAGGTATAGGGAGAAGCGACGAGGACTCTCCGTAACAAGGGCGGTTGATAGACACGAAAGGGACTTCGTAAGTATTGCTTGAAATGGATGCGGTGTGACGAGAGTCTGCATCGAAATAGTGGCATTCGTACATGCCCCCGTGAAGAGCAACGATAAGAGGGCGGAATTGAGGTGTAGATTTTGAAGGCGGCGGGATGTTCCGTATCCCGGATACTACTCCCCCGTTCGGGAGGGAATACCTGAAAGGTTCCATCATGACAAAACGAGAGCGTAAAAGGGAAAATCGGTAGAGAACAATGATGGAGGTGACGGGAGCAGAATCTAGTATCTTGCTATATACCCTACTGCGAATGAAAAATCTGTATTTAACTCGGTCTTAACATTGTGTTTAACCCCGACCATGTTGAATCAATTCCCCATATCAAGTGGCTCTACGATTCAGAAATCAGGAATTCCACTTTTCAAGGGGTTGGGACCCTGGTGACATGTGGCCAATTATAAGCCTTCGCATAGATCCGTACTCGCCTATTTTCAAGGCTTGACCCAATGCGCTTGGTCAGTGGCGGCACTACTCAATGCCGAGATACGATTTGACCTCATCATGACTATACACCCTTCAAGGTGGGGGGGGAATGAAAAGCCGAGTCGGCGTACAGTTAGCTTGTTAAGCCTCATTGAATCTCGGAACAAGACTTTTATTTAACAACGGCCTTAAGCGTTAATTCCGATTGATGACATTGGAACTCCCTGGTATTCTGAAAATCTCGTGCAAGCCCACTGGGTACTGTATTGCTGGGTCTACGATAGCGTAACTCTCTTATCCGACGCTATCGGCATGACCTATTCCAGGAACCGGATACATGGATAGATACGCGTATAGATATCTACATATGTAGTACAGAAGTCGCAGTTAACCAAGCACGTCAATCTCATCACCATGCTATTCACGGCAATCCTTCTTTCTCTCGCTCCTGCTCTGGCGCTTGGGCGTCCGAAACACGATCAGTCAGGCAGACCAAGGTCCGAGCATGAGAGCCATGTACGTCTTCTCCACGAGTATCCATTAGGACATTTCGTCGAAGGCATCGCCGTCCGCCCAAACGGCGAGCTTCTGCTCACTCTGCCATACATTGCCGAAGTACACAGCATCAACCCTCTGCACTCCGATCACACTCCCAAAGTGGTCCATAAATTCCAGGGCATCAGCAGCGTCTTTGGCATCACTGAGTATGATCATGATGTCTATGCTGTGAACGGCGGCAACTTCTCGATAGAAGAAGGCTCAGTGGTGGGAACTTATCGTGTGGATTCATTGGACCTGACCGGGGCTGAACCCAAGGCGGCCAGGATTGCAGACTTTCCGACTGCACAGTTCCTCAATGGCATGACATTTCTGCCTCAGTGGGGACCTGGACCGCGCAACGTGCTCGTCAACGATGTGATCGGCGGTGTTGTTTATCATCTTGACCCAACCTCGGGAGATTATCACGTCGCCCTTAACAATACCTATACGCAGGCCCACCAGCATCCAGTCTTGGGATCTTTCGGCGTGAACGGCATCAAGATCGGAGACGGCATGGCATACCTCACCAACACCGGACTGGGTGCACTTGTGCGATTCCCCATCCATCCCAACGGAACAGAAGTTGAAGGTGGTCCAGTCGAGATTCTGTCCCGTCAGGATAATTCCACCTGGTTCTACGACGACTTTGCGCTCCGGGATACGACAGCATATGTCACAACCGGCTCCGGGAATTCCATCGAGCGCGTTGTTGCGCCATCGGTCGGCGCGGGAGGTCTAATTGGTACAGACATCGTGGCTGGAAGTCTTAATTCTACCGCTGTGGCGGGACCGACTGCTGCTGCTTTCGGTCGCACTGACAGGGATCGTCATATCTTGTATGTTACTACGAGCGGTGCTGCGAATGTGCCAGTCGATGGAAAAATTAGGGTTGGTGCACAGGTTCTGGCTGTTGATACAAGATTGTGCACTTGGATCTAGTAACCGACTTATATTTAAACACTTACATACTGTATTTATTTGGGTGAAGTAACATTAGGGAGGCTACAAAGATATCATGGCGTCTAAGATTTAGGCCAGCAATCCATAAAGCTTGATGTAATTTTGCCGTTAACAGAGATGTCTTCTTTCTCACATTAAGCATAAATATAATCTTACTGTTGTAGCACTATTGGCTTGCAACTGACTTGGCAATTCACATACCCTGAAGCTGTTCGCAGCTCGGTCTACAGGCGCTAATTGGCTGCGCGCACTTGCGCTCAAGGTGCAGCAATTCGGCCAGTGCCCATTCCAACAGGTTCACCGTTCGGGCAAGCTGTGCGAACCTCTTTTCTGAGTCTGCATGGAACGTAGCCGTTACCCATTCGGGTCGAACAGGTCTCCAATCGGGCATGTCTGCCTTGTCTCAACTCTGCCGGTACAAAGCTCGTGCGGCTGAACCCCGACTGCATGTCACTAACCCAAGAACATCTTAGCCCTTCTCCTTCCCCTTCACTAACGCCCTTTCCTATGAGCACTTTTCACAGAATGTGCCTCGCGTGGCTTTTTCAGGCGCCGAAATGATCTTATCGTTACGGTCTAGACCATTCCCGTCTATTTTGGACTTTCAGCTGAAACCATGCGTCGGTACACAAATACCCGCTCTTGGCACTCTTGGCCTTTAGTTTGTAGTTCTTCCACGGATCATACCGCGACGACGAAATGCCTTTTGACTTCAAAGCCTACGACCAGAAATGCCAGGGCTTGACGCTCGAGGAGCTACAGCGAGAATGGGAGCACTACACCCGCCTGATTTCGGGCGCTGCCACGTCGACTGCGGTGTCGGGATGCGCTATCCCCCTCACGCTGGGAGTCTCGACTATTGGTGTTGCGATGGCTGCACCGGCGATTCATAACGCACGAAAGAAACGCGAGATTATTGAGAGGCATCTCAATCGATTGAATGCGACGCATAAAACACGAAAACGCGATGTTCTTGGGAGCATGGCTGTCAGCGGAACGATCGGCGTTGTTACACTTGGTGTTGGAAGCATGGGCGCTGATGCTGTTGCGACTGCTGGTGCAGAGCATGGCATTCAATCCATCGTTGCGAATGAGACTGCTATTAAGCTCGTGTCACATGCTGCGCTCGATGGAGCGGGGATGATGGTTGAGCACAAGCATACGGATCATTTGAAGAAGAAGGATGCGCGCAAAGCGTTTCAGAAGGCTGGTGTCTTTCAAGCTGTTCAAGATGCAAAAGCTGCTGAGGCGGGGTATACGATTCAGCCTTATCAGAACAATGGCCAAGTATATCCGAATTATGCTGCTGGAAGTTCGTCGCAAGCTCTTCCTCCTCCTCCGCCGCCTTACAATGTTGCTGTTGGTCAGACACCTGTACCGCAAACTTACAATACTACACCGAATGGGTATCCTCAAGACTTCAAGGCGCCAGTCGCCCAACCGCAAGCTCAGCAGAGCCAGACTTATTTGACGCCCCATGTCACTGGACAACAGCCTATGCAACAGCAGTACGACTACTCGCAGCAACCAGTCCCGACATATGGTGCACCATCACCTATGCCTCCGGCGAGCACTCAGATGTTCTCACCGCCCCAAACACCAGCTGTTCAATATCCTCCCCACACTTCTCAAGGACCAAACATGCAGCCAGCACAGCCGCAGCCTCTCTACCTACAACAGACAGGAGTTCCAGGCTATAACCCCCCTGCGACACCACAGCCTTTCAACATGGCTGCAATGCATCAGGCTCTTCCTCCTGCTACACCTGCGCCATCAACTCCATATCAACAACCGCAAGTGCAACAGGTCCCGAATATGGTCATGCCTACGCCTCCCCAGGATAGCACTCAGGGCTATGCGCCACAGCAACTACAGCCGCAGCCAACTGGACAGATCGCCGGGGCACCTCAAGCTGGATACTTCCCAACTGTCCCAGCAACACCAGCTGGATATCCACCTGCTGTCACAGCCCCCCACCAGCCAACACTGCCGCCTGACTCTGTAGCCCAAGTGCCACCACCTGATGATCCAGCCTATGTCTATCAGACTCCCATGCAGCATGTTGTCCAGCATCAGACTGGATACCAGGCATCGCCCCCACCCGCACAACAGCAGTATCATCAGCAGCCTGGCTACGGAACACCCCAACACACTGGCACTTATCAACAAGCCCCAGTGCCCGCACCGGTTGACCGAAGAAGCTCGTTCGTTGCCCCGCATCAACCAGCTTTCGCTCCCCATGCACCGTACAACCCTCAAGATTGGGCTCCCAAGCCTCAGCCAGCATATACTGCTCAGGCTCCTGGGGTGAATAGCGCACCTGCTCCGACCGCACAAGTCATGCAGTATCAGATGCCTCCAACTCCTCTCCCAACAGGCTCAACAGTGAATCAGTATCAATACGACAACAAAGGTTCATATTTTCCAGCCCAGCCTCAAACCCCTCAAATGACAGGGCAGAGTGCACAAACCCCTCAGCAATATCCACCAGGAAATTATCCCGGAGCCCCGATGCACAATGTACAGGTGACGCAATAGATGTGGAGACCTTAGATTGGTGGGTTGCAATTGGAATCATGAGTTATGGTTAATGATGGGATATGGAATAAACTACAGAATTAGTTAGCGTATTAATTTTTGTCTATTTGAGGTTCAAGCCTACTTCTTCGCCGTATCCATTCCGTGCTTACATTCTGTCACTGATTGAGGAGTTTATAATTTGATTCATCAGGAGTGGAGCATTCAGTGAAGGATTTGCACTAGTCTCTAACAGGCAATTGTGCATTTCGACTCATCCAAGGTCATACCTTTTCAGTGGGGCTAACCTCTCGATAACCTTTATAAGAATAGCTAACAGAACGCAAAACTTGCATCTCACTAACTCATCACTCAAAATGACTGCACTAAACGTTACAAACATGGTCGACCTAGACATAGAGCTGGACATCATCGGCCAACAACCTTTCATGGTCAAGATCTACACCCAAGTCAGCTTCTGCTTCCCAATCACCGACCCCTCCACACATCCTGCCATCACCGCCACCATCAAAAATGGTCTGCAGCGTCTCTCGCAGAGTTTCCCCTGGGTAGCAGGCCAGGTGAAGGACGATGGTACGGGCGTATTCAAGATAAAACCATTCGAGGCGACACCGAGACTGGTAGTCAAGGATCTTCGAGATGACCCCTCAGCACCGACAATGGAGGGCTTGAGAAAGGCAGAGTTCCCCATGAGCATGTTTGACGAGAACAAAATCGCGCCAAAGAAGACTCTTCCTATTGGCCCCGATTACTCGCCTGATGATCCTCTTCCTGTGCTGATCTTTCAGCTCAATTTTATTGAGGGCGGGCTTATACTCACTGTCAATGGACAGCATGGCTGCATGGACATGACGGGTCAGGATGAGCTTATCCGACTACTCTCCAAAGCCTGTCGTGACGAAGCTTTCACACAAGAAGAGATATCGACAATGAACCTTGACCGCAAGACCATTGTTCCTCCTCTCGAGAATTACAATCTCGGCCCAGAGCTGGACCATCAAATCATAAAGCCCCCTCCAGCCACTGAAGCCCCGCCAACACCACCCAAAGCAAGCTGGGCATTCTTTTCATTCAGCCCACAAGCCCTCTCGGAGCTCAAGGACAAGGCAACACAGATTCTTGACGAACAAACTAAGTTCATATCAACAGATGATGCTCTCTCAGCGTTTATCTGGCAATCCGTCAGCCGCGCCCGCCGTGCTCGTCTAGATGATTCCACCGCGACTCAATTCTGTCGCGCCGTTGATGTGCGCACTCAACTGGATGTACCCAAGAACTACCCAGGAATCCTCCAAAACATGACCTACAGCGTCTCGAAACTCTCTCAGATCGCCAATGAGCCACTCGGCATCGTAGCATCTCGCTTGCGGTCTGAACTCGGCCGTGATGATCTTCGCCGGCGAACACAAGCCCTGGTAACATATCTGCACGACCAGACGAACAGGGCAAGCGTATCTGTCACGGCGGACGCGAATCCGTCGACGGATATTATGTTGAGTTCATGGGCGAAGCTGAAATGCTGGGACTATGACTTTGGCCTTGGACTAGGAAAGCCAGAGAGTGTGAGGAGGCCGTTGTTCGAGCCGTTCGAGAGTTTGATGTATCTTATGCCCAAGAGACCCGATGGAGAAATTACTGCGGCGTTATCGCTGAGGGATGAGGATATGGAGATATTGAAACAAGACGAGAAGTGGAAAAAGTATGGGCAATTCATTGGCTAGTAATAGTTTCGGGTTGCTCGCGGGGCTTCAATGCAACGTTCCAGCGGGGAAGCTCACGACATAATTCGACATCATCCGAGCTTTATGCTTATTCCTGTTTATAGAGTTGTATTTGCGGAGACAATATGCAGATCTCGGACTGTTCTCCAGATGTGCGGTGCTGCGATAGGTGCGGGAGATGCTTTTGACGATCGTAGGGCTTGGCGTTTGTGGAGGATCAGAAGTAGAGCCGAGGCGATGGCCGAATGACTTACATATAAGATGACACTCACTAGTGATTGTAGAGTATTCAAAGGAATTCCTTGGTATCATTCAGTTGCATGATGGATCTGTCGGCGCTAGGTTTCCCTGGGGCGTTGCCCGACTGGAGTAACTTGAACGTCCTGCATCGCAACACCCTCCCAGCTCGAGCGCACTTCTACTCCTACCCTGATCAAGAATCCGCTCTCTCTTTCAATCGGGATCAGAGTTATTTCCATAGCCTCAACGGAACATGGAAATTCCACTACGACAACAGTCCCTTCGATGCTCCCATCTGGGAAACTGCCAACACCAGCTCATGGGACGACATCGAAGTCCCAGGCGTGTGGCAGCTCCAAGGCTATGGTCATCCTCACTACACCAACATTGACTACCCCTTCTCTGTCACTCCTCCCAAGGTCTCTTACGTCAATCCCACTGGTTCTTACTGGCGACAGTTTGAAGTACCTGAAGAGTGGGATGGTGATCAGATCAGACTGCGCTTTGAGGGTGTTGATAGTGCATTCCATGTTTGGGTCAATGGTGAAGAGGTTGGCTACGGTCAAGGGAGTCGTAATCCAAGCGAGTTTGACATTACGGACTACCTCTCTCCGGGTCAAGCGAATGATCTTGGTGTAAGGGTTTATCAGTGGTCAGATGGTTCTTATATCGAGGATCAGGATCAGTGGTGGCTGTCTGGCATCTTTCGCGACGTTTACCTCATTCCCTTTTCCGAATCGTTCATCATAGACTTTCAGGTTGACTCTGAACTCTGCGACTCTTTTGATGAAGGGTCTTTTAAAGTCAATGTGACCATTCAAGGGAAAGAGGGTGACCTTGCTATCAACTTACTGTCGCCTAACGGTTCGGCTCTTCATGAATGGAAAGGATCACCTTCAGATATCTATGAGAAAAGTCTTTCTGGGGATGATTTCCATATCTGGTCCGCTGAAACGCCAAACTTGTACACCTTGCTCATCACCTTCAACGGACGGACTATCAGTCAAAAAGTTGGTCTGCGTCGCGTTGAGATTCAAGGGTCCAACTTTTACGTCAACGGAAAACCTATCATTATATACGGAGTCAACAGACATGAGCACCACCATCTCACTGGACGTACAGTCAGTTACGAAAACATGCGAAAGGACCTTCTACTCATGAAGCGTTCCAACATTAACGCAATTCGCACTGCCCATCAGCCTCCCCATCCTGACTTCTTTGACGTGGCTGACGAACTCGGTTTCTACGTCATCGCCGAATCTGACCTTGAATGCCATGGCTTCGGTAGTATTGAAGAAACAGAAGAAGAAGCTGCTGAGTGGCTCTCCAACAATCCAGATTGGGAAGAGGCTTACGTCGATCGGGCTCGTCAGCTAGTTGAGCGATTCAAGAACCATGCCTCTGTCATTATCTGGTCTCTCGGCAATGAGTGTTTTTATGGTCGTAACCACGCTGCCATGAGCAAGTGGATCAAAGAGAGGGACCCAAGTCGGATTATCCACTACGAGCAAGACCGTAATGCTACGTCGACGGATATGTACAGTCAGATGTACAGCACGCCTGACGATGTAAGGGAGTTCATCAAGACTCATACTGATAAGCCAATTGTGTTGTGTGAATATGCCCAGTAAGTATCCTTCTGTAATCCAGATGAGGTTGAGCTAACAGTACTAGTGCTATGGGCAACGGACCAGGTGGTCTCGTAGAGTACATCGACCTCTTCAGAAACGAGCCTTTATCTCAAGGTGGCCTTGTCTGGGAGTGGAGCAATCACGGACTCCTCAAGAAGGAAGAGAACATTACGTACTACGCTTACGGAGGTGACTTTGGCGACGAGCCCAATGATGGTGACTTTATCATGGACGGTCTTGTTTTATCTGACCATTCGCCAATGCCTTCATTGAAGGAGTACGCCAAGATCATCCAGCCTGTCTCGGTGAATTTGGCGAAGAATGGAAGTGCAATGACTGTTGTCAACCACTATGACTTTTCTGACTTGAGTCATCTCGATGTTTCGTGGCATGTTATCGCAGACGGTCTTAAGACTGAAGCTCGTCCGCTCGACCTTCCAAGAGTACCCGCTGGAGAGAATAGGACCGTGGCGCTTCCATCGGGGCAGAATATTACACAGAATGAGGCATGGGTCACGGTCGAGTTCAAGCTGAAGGAAGCTACCCTCTGGGCTCCGAAGGGCCATGTCATTGCTTGGGATCAACTTCACATCCAACGCCCTAATATCAAGACCCGGGGCATATTGGTAGTCCGTCGTCAAGACAGCGGAGAGTTCCAGAAGAACGGAACCAAGCTCCTCTATAAGAGTGGAGATGCTTCCTTTGGATTTGACTTGCTTCAGGGAAATGTAACTTGGAACATCAACGGCGTGGATATCTTCCAACGTGGCCCCGAACTCTCATTCTATCGCGCTCTCACACAGAACGATGCGGCATCTTCTGGCGATGGACCGATCTGGGAACAAGAAAAAATTCCAATGATTTATCCTCAAGTCCGAGATGTTACATGGCGCGTTGGCGAGGATGGCGCAGTGGTGCACTATAAAGTCTGGGTTGGAGTAAAGACACGTGCTTGGGGCGTTGAGGCAGACATGATCTATAGGATCCCCACTCAAGGTGCTCAGCTTCAACTCGAAGCTCGGGGCGAATTTGTCGGCAAGAATGAGTCTCATGTCATTCCCCGCATCGGTCTCATGGCTGTTTTGCCCGAATCTTTCGACGACGTCTCATGGTTCGGCCGAGGACCCGGAGAAAGCTACAAAGACTCCAAGCAAGGGTCCCGCATCGGGCAGTACAGTTCCACCGTCCCGGATCTGTTCACCTACTATGACTACCCTCAAGAGAATGGTAATCGCGAGGATTTGCGATGGTTGAAGATCGGAAATAAGGATGTATCGCTTGATGCTCGACGAACAAAGAGCGAACCATTTAGCTTCACGGCTCGGAGGTACATGCCCTTTGACTTGGATGATGCTCAGCACCCGCACGATCTGAAGCCATTGAACATGACGGTGCTGCATCTCGATTACGATAACAATGGGCTGGGATCGGCTACGGTTAGGGTGAGACCGTTCGAGAAGTACAGGTGCTACACCAAGCCATTCAACTTTAAGTTCAGTTTCAACATAGTCTAGTTCAACGTGATAATCAGATTCGGATGATATATCTTCAATGTAATATGATTATGCGACTTCGATCATGATAAATAATTGATTACTGAACGCTTTTGTCCGCCAAGATGGTGCAGTACACTTGCATATCGGTGAGCAGTTCGAGCAACATGTCCAGATACACCACCGCTCAACGCCTGTCTAATGCCGAACATGCAATTGCTCCTAATCGGGAATGCGAAGAAATGGCTTGGTAGACGTCTTGCCTGAGTGGGCCGCGACATTAGCGCTCAGAGCACCACGTTCGCGATTAGTGATCAATAATTACTGATCAAAACGCATGACCCGAGACCGGAGGAAATAATAATCACGCCTCATTCTTTATCATAATGCATTACAAAACCCTCCGGTAGCATTTTCATTTTGTAATCTTTATGGGAAAGTGTTAGGAATAACGCCGATATATATAACTATTTACATTTCGAAATGTAACCCATGAATCCTACCCTCCAACGTCATAGAACACTAGCACCTCGCCAAACTCTATCAAGCCACCAGTAAACACTTTTTCTCACTGCAAGGGTCATGGCTCGTCGCATCTTTGTTATCGGAGCTACTGGAGCTCAAGGTCTCCCCGTCTGTCGCGGCCTCATAAAAGATGGAGCGTACAGCTTAAGAGTACTCACTCGCGACGTCAACTCACAGCGCGCCAAGCAATTGGCAGAGTTGGGCGACGTCGAGTTCATCGAAGGTTCATTCGCGAATGAGGACAACCTCCGAAAAGGCTACGAAGGTTGCTGGGGCGCCTTCGTCAACATTGACGGCTTCAACACTGGTGAAAAGACAGAGACTTACTGGACCATCCGCGCATACGAGCTGGCAATTGAGTCTGGCATAAAGTTCTTTGTCTTTGGAAACTTGGACTATGGGTATAAGAAGAGTGGCTATGATCCCAAGTTCCGCTGCGGCCATTATGACGGAAAAGGTCGAATGGCTGAGTGGATGCTAAGCCAGAGAAAGGCTCATAGCATGGGCACTGCCATCTTCACTACTGGTCCGTATATCGAGATGGCAGTCTCAGCACAGACAGTTATGACTCCACGTATTGTTGAGGGTGTCGTTACCTGGGCTGTTCCTCTCGCTGACGGAGCAATCCCCCACGTCGCTCTCGATGACTGCGAGCACTATGTTCGCTGGCTTTTCGATAACCCCGAGAGATCCGATGGACTGGATCTCGAGGTGGCAATCGATCATATCACGTACCATGACCTAGCGCAGGCGTTCCAAAAGGTTACTGGCAAGCCAGCACAATTCATCGACATTCCGTTGGCGACTTACTTCGATCACATGCCTCTGAAAGGCACAGTACCAGCTGGATACAACGCTGATCCCAATGATCCTGCCACCATGACCATTGTGCAAAACTTTTCTGGATTCTGGAATATGTGGAGAAGCTCTGGCGGGAACAAGGGAGTTATTAAGAGAGACTACAAGCTGCTGGATGAGATTCATCCGAACAGGATCAGGACTGCGGAAGACTTCTTCCGCAAAGAAGAGGAGAAGCGCAAGGCACAAGGACTTCCGAGCATTTTTGAGACGATTGAAAGTGGCAACCTCGGTATGATCCTCAAGTTGAGCGAGGATGGCAGGAAGGGAAAACTGTAATCCTTCAAAGGGCCCCGTATGTCAGTCTAAAGTATTGAGGCTATGGACATGAATAGTGTATTATAACCCGCAATACAAATGGTCAGAATGTGACTCAACTTTCTGATCACAAGATGCTAGCAGCCCGGTAGGCTCCACTGCTGTGCCGTCATCCTCTCCCCACCTTGGTTTTGAGGGGAAACAAGATCTAATTAGCGCTTCAAGTTGCATGCAGTCAATTAGTGCAGCATTATGAATTACTCGATATCTGACAGAGGGAGTAATGAGTCTACAAGGCGATCATATTCGGTTGCTTCGCCTGAGAGCTGATTCAAGCTTATCCTTCACGCGCGGCATATTTCGTCGCGCTATCCTATGTCTGGGGTGACTCAAGTGACACTCCGCCGCTCGATGTATCAAGACAAGTTATCCACGCAACCAAGAATCTGCATCATGTTCTTGACTGCCTTTTGGCATCTCGCTTCGACGAGCTTTTCTAGATCGATGCTCTGTGTATTGACCAGCAAAATCCACAGGAGCGCGCATCTCAAGCTGCCATGATGGGAGACATTTACTCACATGCACGATACGTCCTTGCTTTCTTATCACCGGAAGCGGAGTCCTTCAACTTGGGGCTAGATTATATAGAGGCGACTTCTCGAGACAAGACGATGCACTTCGATCCTTCCATCTAACCTCATCTCACGGTCCAAGGTCTCAACGCTAGAGATGAACGGCGGCCTAACAATCTATATGCGACCCTTCGAATGAAGCACTTCATGGATATGCTTGTTCCTGGGAGGCTATACACCGAAGACTTCATAGCGGCAATATCCCTTTTCCGAGTACGCCACTGTTCAGATCCTCGGGATAGAGCATTCGGGTACTTTGGACTACGTTCGCCGAGCCTAGATATCAAAAGTGTAATACCTATTGACTACACCTTGTCTATAGCCGATCTTTATCAGAAGTTGGCGGTGGCGTTGATCGAGAAATCCCATACACTTGATGTACTCAGTCATGTACTACACAGGTCGAGCGTTGAGAAGCGGACTGATGGCTTACCCAGTTGGGTTCCAGACTGGGATGCTACAATTGATGATTGGTATCATCTAACATATACCGAACGCACGAATATGATTCGGCATTGCCGTGCTTCAGGAGACATGAAACCAGAATGGAGGGTACAAGAAGCAGGCCATGTCATAACTCATGGCTTACAAATTGAGGCAACCGCACCTGGCTACCCTTCCATCATCCCCGGTTCAACACTTGGGGGCAAAACGGTCATCAATGAGTGGCGCCGACTCGCTGACCTATCTACTTATCCGGATGCGTCACCTACTGAGAAGCAATCTGGTAACGAGCGAGAGCGTGCATTTGAGAACGCCCTCAGTGGAGGCTTTACTTACATGAAATGGTCACAAGGGAGTCTCGAGTACACAAAGGCATACCGCGCCTGGCTCGAATGGTTTGTATCCTCGGAAGTTGCCTTGGCCAAGTCATGTAAACAAATAATTCAAGATTTTGATGGGTTGATTCGGCAGACAAGTGAACGTCGGAGATTTATTGTGACAAGTGACGGGCAGGTAGGTTTCGGTCTGGAGGGAGCCGAGAAGGGCGATGTGGTTGTTATTATACCTGGAAGGAAGGTTCCGTATGTTTTGAGGAGGGTGGAAGTCTCTGACTGTGGAGTGAGGAGGTATCGTTTGCTGGGAGATGCATTCATCAACGGTGCGAGGGCGGGTGAAAAGGTCGACCCATCGACGTCGGAGTTGACCAAGATCGTTATTGTGTGATAGCATTGGTCTTCAAACGTAGAAGAGTGACGTCCTTATGCTTTCCAGGAATACTTCTTGAAACTGTGTACGTTGAATTGAAACGATATTCAGAAATTGCACAAAGTGACTAGGACATATACAAAGAAAATTCCCAAGTCTCTCTAGAGTCAACCCCTCCCTTCATTGGCATTCTTCTTCAATCTTTCTCAGCTCATACAACCAATACTCTATCGTTGAGCTCTGATAGGGGTTCTCCATCTCTCCAGGTGGGTCAGGTCCTACTTTACCCCATACTACTCCAATCTCCTCAGCTGCACGTCTCTCATCGTCTGGCAACTCACTCCCTTCAAGATGACATAGAACTTCACTCATGCGGCCAACCCAAATCCTTTCCCAGAAGTTAATAAGATCGCGAATTCCTCTTTCTGGATCTTTAAGGATGGAAGTGATGTTTTCCTCGAACTGGTCTAAAAGATCTCCAAGCAGCGCCAACTTGTGACTTTCATCATCTTCAAACCCGTCTTCAACACTATGAAAGGGATTGTCATACATGAGACACCTCGTATACTTGTGTACACAACAAGAATGATGGATTCCTAAAGCGGTATAGGTAATGTACCGAAGAGTAGCATAGTGATGCCTTGGTTCGAGATAACAAGAAAAATGTTCGAGATATACGATGAATCTGGCGAGCGGCTTCGATAGGGGATTTTCATGTATACCGCTTACTTCTGGGGTACCCATGTTGTTAATCGTGATGCTTTCCAGGTCGTTTCTTTCTTTTGCGGCACTGTCTCGTAGAAGGCGTCTTTGAGCAAATTCAAAACCATAGACAGGGATTAAATGTTTTAATAAGAACGTTAACTCAGTGCAACCCCCAGGAGAGCATCGGCAACGGCATGCATCTGTCACGTTAGCCGCAAATACTAGAGCATGGAGTTTGTGAACCCAAGCTACGTCCCTGTTCGGCGCAGGTGGTGTTGGCGATGTATTGCTAGTATCAGACTCGTCCGATCGGTCTATTTCAAGAGAGAGTCTTGAGTACCTAATATAATAGCCAATGGCCGAGAATATACACCTAATCGCAAAGACATCTTTGGATGATGGGAAGGGGAGCTGACAGGGGAGACCACCATGATCGGCCAACCATCGCAGATATGGTACATTTGTGTAAGGAGGGATAGCCATCAGTTCCACTATTGGGGCGTTGTACCATGATCCAGTGTCTCGGAAACCAACTCGGAGAAATATGTCGGCATCGTCGGATGAAGATAGCTTTTGGTAGACTGGCCATGGGCCTAAATACCGACGACGGTTTCCCACGATAGTAAGGGCTTCAGGGACACAAATACCCCTCTTTTGCAAGAGCTGAGTGACTTTCAATGCATTCAAATCGAGAATTTGTTCCGATTCGAGACCCAGTTGCTGTATATCTGTCCCACACAGGTTTTCTAGAGCAAGCTGTTTCAGTCTGTCTCTGCGATCTTTCATGTGACGCACGTATCTCAGCTTGCACCGTTTAGAGGCACCGTTAAGTATAAACTGTAGCTTTGATGATGTAGGGATCGCGCAGTCAGCTTTCAAAAGAATGACAGCACATTCGGCACATGTGCATCTTCTACACATTCGGCTATGTTCTCTACAGCTCAGCCTACTGAGTGAGACTGCGAAATCTAATGGGGAGTAATATAATCGATCTGTCTGGTTCAGGAGTGCTGCATCTGCGGCTTCAACTAGGACTCGCAGGTATGATGGCTTTGTTGCAGCGAGGTGGAGTGGAGTATGCCCGAAAAGATTTCGCTCAGAAAGGGTGCTGGGATGTTTGGCCACGAGAGTTTTGACTTCTTCCAAATCATTAACGTCCGTCACCCAAAGACTGGCCACCCCCACAGACCGGCCACCTCACTTTTAACCCAGCCACCCAATTTATATATACTTTAAACAGTCACAACTCTACCAATTTAATTCCAATTAATTTCAAACTAACGCCAATCAATTCAGAATGCCTTCTTTTACTGAAAAAGATATGAGCGCCGCTCTCC